TTGCTGGCTGTCAAACCCGCTGACCGGCCCCATCATCTGTAGACAATTTCCTGCACCTGCTGACAAAGTATGTGTTAAGCTTGAGGCCTGGGGAGTAGTGCAAATTGATTAAAGCTGTTTACTTTACCGTCTTTGCAAAATACAGGCAGTTTCCAAAATATAACAGAGGCTTCCCAATCAGAGGTGTGTGTGTGTGTGTGTGTTTTGTTTTTTGTTTTGTTTTGAGAGGGACTGAGACAGCGTGAGTGGGGAAGGGCAAAGAGAGAGGGAGAGAGAGAGAATCCCAAGTAGGCTCCACACTGTCAGCACAGAGACCTATGTGGGGCTCAAACTCACCAACCATGAGCCAAACCAAGAAACCTGAGCCGAAACCAAGAGTTGGATGCTCAACCAACTGAGCCACCAGGCGCCCCCAGAATTGTGTATTTCATGTTAACATTAGATCTGCATGTTCCACTATGATTTGAAGGCATGGATAGTGGCAGCTTGGTTATGATTAGTGGTCAAAACACTGGCAGAAAATGATACCAGACACCGATGCTATAAAGAAAGTCTGGATGATCTTCTGCGAGAGCTATTAAAATAATTTCTAGTTATTAATTTAATTCAAAATAAACTTTCTTTCGGGATATTAAGTTAGAACAAAGCCAACTCACTCCCTACCAAAATAACTTGGCAGCTATTCTGATGAAGACTTCTGTGTCAGGGTAGCCTCATATGTTTTGGCTGGGTTTAACTGCAAATCCTAGTTACAGTTGTACCAGTTTAGACCTGCTTAAATCCTTTCGAATCCTGACTCTCCAATAAAAGGAAAACGGAAGTTTACTAGAGTGGTACTATATAACCAAGCATCATGCTAGGTAGTGGAGATAACTAGCTACATAAGATGCCACTTCTGCCCTCTGTGGACTCAATGTTGACTAAGGGGGAAGGACATGCTATTGACCGTAGTACCCCCTCCCTTTAGCAAATATAGTGCCTGGCTAAGACCCATATGCCTAATAGGTGCTTGATAAATGTGTGTTGAATAAATGAGGGAATGAATGAAGAAACGAGGCGGTATATGCAAAGGTTAGGAGTCTGCCAAATAGCCTGTTTTGATCACAGCTCTGCTACATATTAGCTATGTAAATAAATCACTTCACTTAAATCCCTGGAGCCTCAGTTTCCACATCTGTACACCTATCCTGCAAAGCAACTGCAAAATGCTAAGCACACTGCTTCACATCCAGAAAGCACTCAATAAATGTTTAATGTTATAACGTGAAAAGGGCAAGGAAAAGGAGTGATTAAATATGGGGATTAGAATTCCTAGATTATGTCTATATATGTACATTTAAAAGTATAGGACAATGTTGGATTTGGGAAGATTTTTAATGGTGAATAAGAGATTGGTTTCCAAAACCAATTTATTCATGTGGTAGGAAACTTGAACCCTCGAGACAGTGACTCACATGCTTATAGTTCCATAACCAGAAAGAGAACATTCTCTGGTTAGATCAAGTTAAAAAATTCTGAGGGAAGGCTTCTAAATGGCCCTGCTTGGGTCAGGTTCATCTTAACCTGATGTGGTACAGACTTTGGGTTGGGAGGTTGTCCTGGGTGGTCCAGGTGGGCCAATTTAATCAAGGGTTCTTAAAAGAGAAACTTTCTTGGCTGTAGTGAGAGATATGATGACAGAACAAGGGTTAAAGTGATGGGACATTGCTAGCCTCGAAGATGTTGGACAGGGAACAAGAGCTAGGAATGTGAGCATTCTCTAATCTGCAAATGGCAAGGGGACGGACTTTTCTGTAGAGGCTCCAGAAAGGAATGCAGTCCTGATGATACCTTGATTTTAACCAGGTGAGACCCACATTGGACCTCTGACCTACAGAGCTGTAAGATAATACATTTTTAGTTGTTTTAAGCACAAAATGACTTGTTAAGACAGTAATAGGAAACTCATATACCAGGGAAACGGGGTGGAAACCTACTTTCATTTCGTCCCACATATTCACTCAACATCATCTGCTCTGAGGCAGCTTGCTCAATGAGGTACCTGTAGCTTCCACCACTGCCTGCTCACCTCATCCATAGGAATAGATTGATTTGAGAGGATAAAGTAGATTATGTAGAGGGAAGCAGAACCAAGAAGTAGAGAGAATTCTGATACTACCTGAGCCGCCAGTTCCAGTTAATTTTGAGGCCAACGTCATGCTTGCCCTTTGGTTATACAAGCTAATCAATCCCTATTTTTGAGCTAGTTGGTTTGAATTAAATGTCTGTGACTTGCAACTAAATGATCCTGTCTAAATCATAAATCTATGGTAAGGAAGAGATGACCGAAGGAGAAGAGTGTTGTTTTGTTTGGTTTGGTCTTTAAAGCCTTTGGAGACAGTACCTGATGATGGCTTAATGCGATTCCATAGCAACCCACTGAGAAACATGTTATCCCACTTTAGATGAGGAAAGTCATACTTCTTAGCTAAGTGGCTTTCCCACAAGCAAGAATATTCTGAATTTAAAACGTGAAAACCCATATTGGTTTGCTTTGTTTGTCTCCAGTGAAACACATTGCACATAGAGTATCCTGCCTTATGTTTTTTCTTTTTTTTTTTTTAAAGTTATCAAAATAGAGCCACATTGTTTCAAGGCCTCTCCACTTCCTGTTTCTGCAGCCTCAAACGGTTTTCTTTTCCTCTGCATCCGATAAACTCAATGCTCTAGAGTCTAGAGAAGTACTGGACAAAGCTGCTTAAACCTAACTAGTGGCGGTGGTGATAGGAGGACTTTTTGTGCACTGGCCATGTGGTTATTTCTCCTAGAAAAAAGATAGAATTAAAAAGCAGACACTATTATTCCTGAAGCGCATTAAAAGGATCTGGATGTTACCTCCCAAGAGATATTTTATAATTTAAATGGAAATATAGAACGCCACACAAATTCATGACATTTGTCCTTCTGGAATATTGTATGCTTGTTATTTTAGTTTTGCAGATAGGAAAAGACTATGTCTATTGGTGCCACAAATTAGGGAACAACAGGTGTAGTTGCATCATTTTGGCCCCAGGGCACCTTGCCCCTATGAAGCAGTTACTGATTATGCCCATGGAGCTTTACCATGAGCCTACCCCCTCTGTCTTCTTCTTGGGTGGAATACGGACTGCTCACAGAAAAAGAAGAGATGGAAATCTCTATCAGTAGAGGGCTGAGAAGCAAAGTGGGTAAACTCTGACTACTATATCATCTTGGTAGAAAATAAGAGGATTTAGAATAAATATCTTGTCTGCTCTTCATTTTTTTGCAGTTCTGAAGTTTTTGTGTTTAAGAAAGAGAAGATAGGGGTGCCTGGGTGGCTCAGTTGGTTAAATGTCAGACTTCGGCTCAGGTCATGATTTCATGGTTCATGAGTTTGAGCCTGCATCTGACAGCAGAGAGCCTACTTTGGATCCTCTTCCTCTCCTCCTCTCTAAAAAATAAATAAACATTAGGAAAAAAAAACAATGTTCATAAAACTTGGTAAGATGTTAGAACACTACTCATGGACCTTCAGGTCTTAGCTTACATGATATTTTACTCATTTGGCCCCAAATACTTATTGAATACTTACCATGGGTCCTACTGAACAAATCAAGCATGTTCCTCGGGGCTACTGTGTAGGGCTGTGCAGGTGAATAGTACCTAGTTCCGTTTGTGTAGTGCACAACTTCCACTATTACAGGTGTTTTTACCCTCCTGGAGACTAAATCTGGTGACTTCTAGAAAGTCTTGCTGGAATTTTCACTCTTCCCCCTCAAAGTAGAAAAGGTGCTCCTATTATGTGTTCTAAAATACAGTCAGTCATAGCACTTTACCCATTATAAATGCTTTGGATTACAAGTATGTTTCCAGAACAAGGTTTGGCTCACAAACCAAGGTTTTACTGTATCTTGTTTGTCACTTTCTAGGGGCTAGGGATGCATCGGTAAATTAAACAGTCAAAAATCCCTGGCTTCTAGAAGCCAATAATCTAGCAAGAGCAGAGAGTAAATAAGTTCAATATGTAGCATGCAAGATGGAAATAAATACTATGGAGAAAAATAAAGCAAGGGGGCTTTCTTTTCACCTACTTTAGGTTTTTGCTGAAATATCGCCTTTTTAAACTTTGAGATAGGAAAGATTTGGAGGTTTGGAGTAGAGGAGAAATATGATCTTGCCTAAAAAAGAAAAACAACATTTAGGAATGTAACAGGCACACTTAGCAAAAAGCAAGTAAGATAGTTATCAGATCTCCACTTTGTCAGGAATCAGGCCACAGCAAATAAAGTGTTATACAGAATATAGAGAACAAGGGCTCAGCCTTTCCCCTCCAAAACTCTTCTTCCACAACACGTTTTTACAAAAATCTTGGGAGAACCCGCATGTTCCAACCGGGGCTGGGTGTTGTATTTTTGCAAACTAGCATCCCACGCCTTCTAGTATCAGCCTATAGACCCTTTGCACCTGGTTGGGGTGTCTGAGGCTCTGAGTTATTCTTTAAGTCTCTTCAACCCGTCCTTATTGAGCAGGCAGCTTCATAAGGAAATAACATCTTGGATAATCAAGATACTATGCTCTGCTAAACACACATCCATATCTGGCATTTTCACACCCGTTACGCTCTGAATACAGGCGTAAGTGTATTTTCCCTCCTACTCTTAGGGCTTCGCTCCGAGGGCTTTTGACGACAGCCTGAAAACCACGCCCGCCCCAAGCACCTTCTCCCCGGGCTCTCCACCCGCCCAGCGCGGTGTAGCTTTCTGGAATCCGTAGGCCTCTCTTTCCTCTGCCCCAGAACTACAACTCCCGGCAGGCTCTGTTTCTCTCCACCTTCCTCTTAGCGCATGGCCTGCCGGGAGGGGGCAGGTAGCGCGGGCGGGGTCCAATGGGTGCCGGCTCCCGAGGAGAAGGCGGAGGAGAGGAGGAAGGAGGCGGACTCTGGGCCCCGGCCCCATTCATTGCCGCGGCCGGCCGGGCGGGGGTCCTGTGTTTTCGGAGCCATGGAGGCGCTAATTCCAGTTATCAACAAGCTTCAGGATGTCTTCAACACGGTGGGCGCCGACATCATCCAGTTGCCTCAGATCGTCGTGGTGGGAACGCAGGTAGGAGACGAGGGCGGCGTCCGCCCAGGCCAGAGCCCGGGGCGCGGGCCTGGTAGGGGCTGCGGCAGCCCCGGCTCCGAGCCGGCCTTTGCGGCCTGTGGGAGGAGGGCGCTGCTGGGGGCACCCGGGCTCTTCGGGCTGTGCCGCGCCTTTCCGCCCGGGGCAGGTTACTTCGGGCCTGGGAATCCGGGCCGGGTCGGGAGGCGAGGGGCGGAGCCGGCGCGGCGGGTCCCGGGGGCGGGCTAGTCGGGGGACGGACCGGCAAGCGGAACTGGAGCCCGCGGAGACCGGGCGCGGCTTGCCCTGCGGGCCGCTGCTTGGAAGGGCACCTGGGGGACGCGCTGGGCACGTGGGGCCACACTGGGCTCATGGCGGGCCAGCTAGCCCTTCTTCGGTTGGTTTTAGGGCGGCAGGGTTTTTATTCCCCTTCTTGCCTTGCTCAGGGGCTCCGGAGTCAGTTTTGGAACCGCGGGGTCGGGGTTGAGAAGGCCGCTACTGTGTGGTACCTGAATGTTTTGCTGCAGTGCAATCCCTTCATGTTTTGAGGACGCCGAGGCAGTTAATAAAAAGCACCCCCCCCTCTCCCCCGCCCCAAACCACCTGTATCTGGGTGTTAGGAAGGAATAACCAGTTTTTCTGCGTTGGCTGTGGTTTTTGTCTTCCATCCAAATTGAGCATCAGGTTCTCTGGTCTTTTCATATTGGGTGTCATAGATAACATAATTTTTTATATGCAGAAAATGTTGGAAAAATAAATTATTTTTAGAGTGACAGGAGAAGTACAAGTTTAATTTTCTCTGCCTGCTGATTTTCTTGGTTTTAAAAGAATCGTAGGACTTTTATTAGAGTTCAGAGAAACGCATTTTAGAGCTTAGTATATTGATTTTAAGTGTTTTCATTTCTCAATGATCTTTTCTGTTGAGAAGGGGACGGTTTCCTCATTTTCTGTCGCTATATCTTGCTACAGTATTTTAGTGTAGAGTATAAATATTATGACAGGGAACTTAACGTTCAGAGTACCATGGAGTATATTCAAACCTTGGAAACCATAGACATCCTGTGCTTTTTCTTTTAAATAAAGTGGTAGAAATTATTTCAGAAACACATATACTTGGTCTGCTGTAGGGTTGGTATAGATTCTGCTCACTCCTGCCTACGTATATTGTAGTATTTGTAACTTATTTGTAATGATTGGACACTGAATCATCAATATAATATTAGGAGCAGTATTTTTATTTCACATATTTTGTTCACTGCTGCGTTCCTGTTTCTAGTTCTGGAACAGTCCCGGGGCGTGTAGTGAGTGCTCCATAAATACTTTGAATGAATGGATATTGTTCACTGTAACCAGATAATATTTTAAAACACTGGTACTTCTATCATCAAATGGATCTGTTTTTGAAAATACAATGAAAGGAGATGAACTAAATCTTCTTTGGTAGTAATTTGGAAGTGTTTCCTATCTGTGGACCAGAAACTTTCCATATACTTTTAAGAGATTCTCCATGCTTTCTAAGCTTGGAGAAGTAAAAGAATCAGGGCTATTTTGTGTCAGCATAAATAGTTTAAAATCAAGAAGGATTTTTCTTACACAAAATTGAGTTTCCTTTTTTTTTTTCCCCAAAGTTTGTTTATTTAGAGAGAGAGAGAGAGAGAGAGAGAGAGAGAGGCAGACAAAGAGGGAGAGGGAGTATCCCAAGTAGGCTCTGTGGGATCAATGTGCAGAGCTGGCTGTGTGGCTTGAGCCCATGAAACTAAGATCATGACCTGAGCCAAAGTCAAGATTTAGGCACCTAACTGACTAAGCCATGGAGATGCCCCAAAATTGAGTTTATTTCCGTGAGTAAACCTGTGGCTGAATTACTCTTTGGAGTAGAGGAGTAAAGATCTCACTGTTAGGAAAATCATTAATGTTGTGCTAGCAGAAACCATCCTAGTAGTGATACATGCCATATTTGCGTGTTGATGTTTGAAATTGCTCAGTAGGGAAATTAAGTTTGTGTGTGTGTTTTAAGTAGGCTCTCTGCCCAACATGGAGTTTGAACTTATAACCCTGAGATCAAGAGGCACATGCTGTACTGACTGAGCCAGCCAAGTACCCAGGGAAATTAGTTTTTAAAGATTTAATGAAGGTTATCTCCATTTGCGTCTTTATTAGCTGTACTTCAGTCCTTTATTATTCAGGTACAGAATTAATAAATAAGGTTAGAAACAATGTCTCCCCCCCCCCATATTTTCATTATATTGAAAAAAATCACTTCTGTTTGACTTGAATACTAGTATACCACTACTTTGTCCTCTGTGCCATTTAATGTTTTGTAATATACAGCACATGCATTACATTCATATTCAATGGAGTAGTGTACGATATTATCCAAACATAATAATAAATGTTCTGACCGGTAAACTTCTCAGTGGCAGTGATGATGTCTTCATAATATGGGTAGAGCCTCTCTCTTACACGTTAACTACACCTTAAGTGGCTGTAGGTCCCATTTTGTTGAACTTTTTTTTAGAAGTGATTTGCAAACTTAGTATATGTAAGAATCACTTTGAAAATAAGTTCCTAGATTCCATCCCCAGAGATTTTGATTTTCAAATCTAGGTTGGGCCAGGCACTACAGGTGATTCTGATGCAGATGATTCATAGATCCCAATTGAAAAGTGTATTAGTGAGTCTTTGATTTTAAAATGCATGAAACTAGAAAAGATAGGGAAGCTGAGCCTAAGGGCATACCACCATTGAGTAGCATGTTGATATATGTGGCATTCTTGCTAATGTTTTAAATTTTGATTTGTTAAATTGCCCAAGTAATCCTTCTTTCAAGCCTATAGAGTTGGAAGAGTTGAGGAGAAGGAATCATGTTTATAGCTGTAGATCATTCACAACTTTAATGGTTTTAGCTAAATAGTTTCTTGTTGTTGTTTTTTTCTTTAACTGAGATCATCTGTGTGGAAAGAACAGAAGAGGGGAGAGAAAAGGTTGATACTTTTAGACCATGGTGTACTTTGCAGGTGGAGAGGAGATAAGACTTAAACAACTTTTGTGACTCAACTTGGGAAATTTAATCACTATTTTTTTAAGTTGAGAATAAGGGGGTGCCCTCCCAGGTATGTAATCTAAACCAGCACCCAGGGGCGCCTGGGTGGCTCAGTCAGTTAGGCGGCCGACTTCGGCTCAGGTCACGATCTTGCGGTCCGTGAGTTGGAGCCCCGCGTCGGGCTCTACTGACCGCTCAGAGCCTGGAGCCTGTTTCAGATTCTGTGTCTCCCTCTCTCTCTGACCCTCCCCCGTTCATGCTCTGTCTCTCTCTGTCTCAAAAATAAATAAACGTTAAAAAAATTTAAAAAAATTAAAAAAAAACAAAAACAAAACACCAGCACCCAGTATAGGAATCCTAGTAACATGACAGTGACCTGAGACTCAAGAGTTGCTAGTAATGAACTTTTCACTTTACCTTTCATTTCAGTGATTTCAGCATTCTACCTTTAGGAATTCAGAAAGGAATCTTGGGTTTTAAATGACCAGTTTGCAAACCAACATTTTTTTTCTAACATTTTAAAATATAATTTATGTAACATAAAATCACCAGTATAGAATGTACAGCTCATTGGTTTTTAGTATATTCACAAGTTGTGCAACCATCACCATCTAATTCCAGAACATTTTTTTTTTCCAGAACATTTTTATTATGCAAGAAAGAAACTCTGTACTCATTAGCAGTCATTCCTCATTTCATCCTTCCCCTGTCCCATCCCCTGGCAACCACTAATCTACTTTCTGTCTCTATGGATTTGCTATTCTGGACATTTCATATAAATAGAATCATACAATATGTGGCTCTTTGTGTCTGGCTTCCTTTGCTCAGCATGATGTTTTTAAGTTCATCCATGTATTAATACTTCATTACTTTTTTTTTTTTTTGAAAGAGAAAGGGAGCTTGTGTGCATGGGGGGAGGAACAGAGGGAGAAGGAGAGAGAGAATCTTAAGGAGGCTCCACATCCAGCAAGAGCCTACACGGGGCTCCATCTCACGACTATGAGATCATGACCTGAGCCAAAATTAAGGGTCAGATACTTAACGAACTGAGCCGCTCAGGTGCCCCAGTACTTCATTACTTTTTATGGCTAAATAATATTCCATTGTATACATATGCCACATTTTGCTTATCCATTCTAGTTGATGAATATTGGGTTGTTTCCATTTTTTGGTTATGATGGAGAATGCTATGAACATTGTTTGCAAGCTTTTGTCTGGACATGTTTTCAGTTCTCTTGGATATACAGTAAAACCTTGGATTACGAGTCACTTGTTCTACGAGTGTTCCATAAGACGAGCAAACATTTCTAATAAATTTTAACTTGAAAAATGAGCAGTGTCTTGCAATATGAATAGTATGTGATGATGAAAATCGCATGATCGCAACTGAGCCAATGGTTCTTGAAATTCGCTTTGATATATGAGTGCTTTGGATTACAAGCATGTTTCCAGAAAGAATTATGCTCTCAAACCAAGGTTTTACTAATGAGTAGAATTGCTGTGTCATTTGGTAACTCTTGTTTAACTTTGAGAAACTGCCACATTGTTTTCCAGTGCGGCTGTACTATTTTACATCCTTCCATCAGTGTTTGAGGGTTTCAGTTTCTGTACATCCTCACCAACTCTTGTTACTATCTTTTTATTTTTATTTTTTTAATGTTTATTTTTGAGAGAGAGAAAGTGACAGACTGTGAGTGAAGGAGGGACTGTAGAGAGAGCGGGAGACACAGAATCTGAAGCAGGCTCCAGGCTCCTTGCTGTCAGCACAGAGCCCGACGTGGGGCTTGAACCCATGGACCGTGAGATCATGACCTGAGCTGAAGTCAGATGCTTAACCAACTGAGCCACCCAGCTGCCCTGTTATCATCTTTTTTAAAAAACTGCTAAATCATCCTAGAATTCTTTTACTTTAAAAAAAGCATACCCTGCCCCCAGCACTGCTATCTACATTTTAGTTCCT